TTTATAACTAGATGATTGCCAAATGTGCTAAATTTCCTCATCATTTAACTTCCTTATCATTACATTACATTACATGTCACTTGTTAGACGCTTTTATCCAAAGCGACTTACATACATTCAGTACTGTGGATAATCCCCACAGGAGCAATTTGGGGTGAAGTGTCTCAGGGACACAACGACATGCTGACTGCAGTGGGGTTTGTGTGAGAACAGATTAACATTTATCGGTTCAGCAGCAGGCCAAGGAACAACTTTTCCATGTTCCTTTAAGCTACAGCTAGCACTGTATATCAGTAAGCTAGGCTGGTTGCTAGCTGCTGGTGGCTAATACCAACAGTTTGAGATAAAATAAACTTTAACTTGTCAAAGTGAGAAAATCACAGCAATTTATACTTAAATGTTGACTGAACCTGTATTATTCAAATGCTCTTTCATTTTGCTGAGTTTTGTTACAAATTCTCTCAGGTGTGCCGAAGCAGATGTTTTCCTTTTTTAAAGCCAAAGCTGTGAATTGTTTATTCAGTGGTTCTTGGATCTGTGCCCATTATAGCTGATTTAGATAACTGTGTTTGTACTTGACAGAGAAGTAAAAAACCAAAAAAACTCATTATCAGCGTATTTGATTTTGAGTTTCTGTCATAACAGTTTTTGTTCTATACTCTCTGCTGTGAGGAAGTCTGGAACTCACTGTGGTGTCAATACACCGTGAGGACTGAGAGTGAGCCGAGGAGCAGACGGGATATGTGGGGTCTAATTCTGCAGAAGACTCCAGTAAACCCTACAAGCTGCTGCTGAATGTTTGCCAGGGATACTGCATTGGCCACTGTTAAATCTTTAATAGACTAACATTAGTGATGTCATTGCCTCTGTGCTCCAGTTTGCTTTCAGAGGAAGACCCTCACCACATTTATAAATCACATTATTAGAAAAGGCCATTTAAGGGTGGAAAGACAGGATTGTAAAGGAGGCTTAACCATCGCAGGCTGTGATTGCATCTGTGCCAGACCTGGGTTTACTCTCCAGTATATTCCTCTCAAATACTGTCAGAAGGAGCAGCCATGCCCGAAGCCTGTTCAAGGTGCTGCTGCAGCAGCCATAAAGGAGTCTGTCTTTCGCTGAATGGTAAATGATTCACCTGTTGAATTGGAAAGAATGGTTCAAATCCAATCTAATAATGGGAGCCAGAATGGGGCCGGTTTCTCTGGTGATGGAGGTCAAAGCAGGATGGAGATATGAGACTTAGCCCTGAGTGAAGGCTCACAGGCACGGATATCTTTTTCAGTCCAGTCATTGGAGCCAAATATAGATCTGAGGAGGGGCAAACTCACTTTTTTAGGGGGCCCAGCAACTTTGAAATAAGACCACCCAGTTGTTTTAGTCCACTGAGATGTCTTGAACTTTACTTAAAAAAAACGTGATTTGTGTCTTTTTGGCATTGCTGGAGCATGTATGGTAAATAAGAGAATTTCACCAATCAACATTGAAGAAAAGAGAATGGGGTTTTAAAAAATAGCAGCCATCGCTGAGTCGATCACTATCCAAAGCATCCTCCAAGCAGCTAGCCAGACGAAGAATAAACTGATATCCAGATATATCAATCCAAGTTATATTAATAAGCCAATAGTAAGAAGCTAAATTGACTTAAGATTTGCAGCATCTACACAATACAGTATGTGACAGTATGCACCCGTAAAGTTGGTTTGAATCCTCAAATAAACACAGAAAAGAAGAACGATAACAAGCCCAGAAAACTAAGAAGCAAACTTCTTTAAAGTTTAACAAGAAGACAACAAAATTGCAATTAGTGAAGTTGTAACGTTTTTTTGATGTAGTTATCTAGAACAAATAGTGAATATTCAAAAGGCCCCGAAGGCTGATTTGGTAAGGTCAAGTCTACGGAATAATCAGTAAACCATCTTTGCTCACAAGATCGATGCCTTTCTTCACCTAATGCCTGCATCAACTACAGCTGATAAAATTATTTTTCAAATACAATGACGTAAGATTCATTGTAATTGGTATCGGCTGAAAAAACGGCTAGTGCATCCCTGATCCAAAAGTCTGTCTGCGTTACTCCTAGTGTCTCATTATATATGTTTTTCCTTTGTAAAGAAAAGCATCTCATTGGCCCAAGGGCTCATTTACTCTTCACTGATTACTGAGGACATTGATTGGCCGGAATAATCGCCTCGCAGGATAACCATGCCCTAATTAGGAGTAATTGAAAAGTATCAAGGACTAAAGTAGCGTTTAGGCAGACCGGAACATTTTTAGATCTATTTTCTTTCATTCTCGACACTTCCTTTTCTTTTTCATCACTACTCACTGTTCCAGCTGGTGGTTGAGGCCCAGAACGGGAGACGTAGGATAAATGATGACCCCCCCCACAGGGCTCGGAATCCACCGATACGAGCAAAACCTGCAATATATTCTCAGCAATAACAAATGAAGGCGTTTGACCTTGTCTTTCTTTCCATTCATTTGATAATACTTGCTGTGGTGTAGCAAGCGCTGTGAATTCACCTCATGACTATGAATGTCAGTTTAAAAAAAAAATTGTAATTGATTCCACAAATATAAAGGTTTATCCCCATCTTCAACCCGGAACGCTTCATCACTAATGCCCTGCAAAGCATCATACTTTCAGGGCCATTTTATATTATAATAAAGAAATACAGTACATGACTCTGCTTTTTTCCTCTCATACTACCTGAGGGACAACATGAAAACAAGTGTATCAGCACACACTCATTTCCATACAAATCCCATACACTAACTGTTAGAAAATCTCTCTCACATTAATCAGCTTGAAAGATATTCTGATGCGTTTCTGATGACAATCTTTAGAGCGGGTGGGCATTGCTAAATCAACAGAAACCCTCAGTAGCATCCCAGTGGGACTCCCATATGGGCCCATTGCTGTCACAGGAAGTAAGCACTCCCAAAAAAAAACCCTCAACACTTTATGATCTCTGCTGGTTCAACCTAAAGACCGGGAACAAACTCCAGAGAGAACGATTCGAGTCATATTTGACATCCCATATTACAGCTGGGAGGTACACAACATGGATGAAACAGCAAAGTTGACAAGAGAATTCATTAACACTAAGGCAGACGTCGGCGGGACTACGACAAAGAGCATTAACTGGGAAGGTGGAGTCAAATTTCAACGGCGAGGAGACAGTGGACGAACCAAGGAAGATGAAGGAGGACACCACTGACAAGACTAGAATCACCCTTAGACAGAGGTTACAATCCCTCCATACATATTGGCACATTATTTGCAGAGATGCAAAAGCTTCTACCACCTATCCTACATACACGTTGTGTGTCTCTTTGTAGTCATTACGCATCTCTTTGGTGTCTATTTGTAGTCATTTTCTGTCTCGTTGTAGTTATTTTTGTCTGTGGTTGGTTTGCCAATGTTTCTAGTCACTTTGGGTGTCTCTCTCTTTTGTCATTGTGTGTCTTCTTGTGCTCATTGCCTCTCTCTTTCTCTGTGTGTGATCCTTCTGAGTCTCTTCTTGGTTACCACATGTCTTTTTTTGTGATATTTTGTAGGTGAATGCCAGGCGAGTCATTCATCCATGCCGATATACGGACAGCCGTAACCAAAGGTCCACACTAAGATCACACAAGAACGACAACTCAAACCTCACTATGAAACAATGTACATACTGCCTCTAACAATGTTATCATTGTCTTTATGGGAATGTTGTTGGTCACCTCAGTCTGACAAATGTGTTGCAATGTGTCAATGTCACATTTGTTCTACGTTTTATATTCACATACATACAGATACCAGTCCAACATGTCCAACAGCCAAGTGAATTATGAAAGGATCAGAACATCCTGACTAGGAACAGAAATACCGCAACTAGTTTCTCTGCAAGAAAGTGTGTGAGTGCAGTTCATGTTTGTCTAGAATTTCTTAGTTTTTGGTCATAAAGATCTAACATTACTGCTTTCTCTGGATCATAGACTGGCTCTGTGCTTCATATACAATTGGTTAGTCCTCAACATGCCCTTCTCAGGTTTCAGGTCCAGACATGATGATACTTTACCAAACCTCAAAAATGTAATTTTGCAAATCCACTTTTAAATGAAAGGAAAAAAGGAATTTGTGTTTTAAACCCAACAGTTCAGGTGTGCAGGATACCCCTTGAGTCTAGGTGATAGAGGGGGACTTGTTACCAGGAAGGATCTGATAATAAGGCACATTAACGGAATAAGAACCTAACATCTACTCCTGTAATACCTCAAGGGCAGTGAATCATCTAGACTTTCTTCCCATCACATCCACCCCTCCTCCCTTCATTTCCATCCCACACACATCTGCAAGCCAAACCAGCATCGTGACACCTGTGGAGATTTCCAGGCGGAGCCAAAGTGACCGAAAACAAACTGTGTATACTCCATATGTGTTAGTCTGCATGATGTAACACTGTGTAAACACGTGGAGGCTATTTAGGGAAGCTCCTTGAGATAGAAAGAGACAGCTCCAAGGAAAGCTGGTTGAGTACAGATGTCATGGGTATACTCAATGAGCATATTGACTTCCATCTATCAGCTGACATCACCCACCACTCTGCTCCTCCTGGATGAATCACCCACTGATCCGGAGAGAGCTGCAGCTCTTACAGAAAACAAAATCCTGTCAGACATACATCACAGAATGATCCACAGCCAATTATATCAATGCGAGCAAATTCATTCAGCCTTCCAAATGTGTCTGAACATCTGCAAACATTGCTAATAAGATGGATAGACATGCACTGACAGGTAGCCAGAAACTATTTTGCATGAAATGCCTGCTCACACAATCAAAGAAAACACACCTTTGCATTAGTTTGCATATTATCAGCAACAGCCTCTCAGCCTGTGCGCTGCTCTTTGTTTAATCCCTCCTCTGCATGTCAGCAGATGGCATCACTTCTGCCGTCCTCTCCACAGCCCCTTTGATGCCCCCGAATAAAAGACAAATAAATGATCACTCTTACCGTTCCCGGAGATGTGGTTCTCCACCTCGCCGTGTCCAGCGTGCCTTGTGGAGACACTAAGTTGCATGTAGAGTCCCATGTAGTGTAAACTCCCCAGCAGCACTCTGAACGCTCCCATGTCTCCTCTGGTTTATCTCTTGTCTTGTTTCAGATCCGGTAGTGCACGTCGATAAAGAAAAATTTATTTATTTTGTTTGTTTGTTTTTTGAAATCCAGGTAATTTGTTCTAGCGGGAAAGAGAGAGAAGTAGCTGAATATGAGAGGAGTCGCTGCAGCCTCTCTGTGTGCCAGCAGACTGACTGAGCCTCTGCTTCCGTTCACTTGGCTCTACATGCGGCGGAGGGACTTCTTCAATATCGCAGGTGCTGCGGTTTTGAGAGGAAGGATATTCGAAACACGTTCAGGAACCTTCAACTTTTCAACGTTTTTCGACAAGCAAATGAAATATGATGGTATGATAAGATAACAATTACAAATGCAAAGCTCCAAACAAACAAACGTATTTTTTTTTAAATTAATTTTAACTAAATAATAAACTGATAAACATGCGCAATCATACACTTTAGTGCTCTCAGTGCTCCAGCATTAGCTTAACAGTGTGTTTGCTAACAGAGTTAGCATGAAGTCTGCTTCGCATATTTGTATCTCATTCACAGACTGAATTGACCAATATCTGACTACAGTTAGTGTTGATCAGGATTTTGATTGTTTAATAGATAATTAATAAGATTTAATGAAAAAAAATAGCCTAGAGCATCCAAAATTGATGAATAGACCTGCTCCTTTTTTGTTTTTGCTTTAATCCCTAAAACAAAAACCTTTACATAAGATATTCAGTTTCATTTTCTTTTGTCTGTTGATTAGAGTAATGCAGAAAATAAGCTTTGTGGCAAACAAAAGTGTACGATACTTACCCATTTGGATTGAACACAATAATCTTGTGTTCTGCGTGATGACGTTTAATGTCCAGGACAACCTCTTTTTGTCTCATCAAGCAATTTGTTAGCAACCACCTTTTTAAGACACATCCTACAACAACAACAACAACAAAAAACTATATAAAATCATTTCTTTGAGACAAGGGAACCGGAAGTGCAAAAATGCTGACTCATATCCAGCTTTTAGGACTCAAATATCACTTTAACAACATTTCAATCTTAATGTAAAGACAGTTGATAAGTTGTTACTGTCACAAGTTTATCACTAATAGCTTTTGGTTGAAAGTATTTGTTGTCCACTCCTTACCCACATTTAGAATCAGTTTAAAAGAGCTGCAGCAGTTGGCATTGACAACCAAATGTAAGTATTACTTTGCATTTATTTGTTTTTTTTGTTGTCCCTACACATTTTGTTCCAGCTTGTAGACCTATGCAGCAGCTTATCTCCAATTGAATACTCCTACAAGTCTGGAATACAGATTTGTTTCTAAAGAACAAAATAAAAAGAATACTCTATTCTTCAAAGTGGAAAGCCTATTTATAATGGGTATGACTATTAGCAAGTAGTCTAAAAAGCATTTCATTTCCCATTAATAGCAAAGTGTTTGGACTACAGAGGTTCTGAGAGAGTCCTCTTACTGTGATAAGCTCCATCGGTGGTTTTGACATGCAGTGAGTGCTTGAGTCTGATTTCAGCACCATGGACAGCGACACTAAAGCTGCAGGATGGTGTGTTCACTGACACCACTCTTGGAGGCAGTGATGGTCACCAGAAGAAGAAGATATCATTTCAAGTGACCAGCCACATTAGGATATGGGCTATTGGACTTTATGGAACAGTCTGTAAGTGCCTTTTCAAACGTCATTGATCTTAAGCACTTGTCCACAACACTGCAGCATAACCAGGGGGGATTATGCCCACCTTGTTAGGTACAATGATAAACTACCTGTCCTACTGTATTTCAACTTTGAGAAAGCCTTCGTTTAGCCTCTGCTTAACATATTTCTACATTTATAATTCAAACGTTTTACCATTAAACATAAGGTCATGGAGTATGGTTGGACATCAATCACTTCTCCATCATTTTTCTACAAAGGGCAATACATATGAGACTTGTTTGGTGTAAATAGATCGGGTTGTATAAAATACATTAGCTGTATTTTAATTTGAATCATAAATAAAGTATCAAGGTGTATTCATATACTGTTGATATTTGTGTTGCACAGTAAAGGATGGGGATGTGAGAAAGCACGTGTGGGTATCATTCACACAGAAATTACATTTTATTTCAAATCAAAGCTTTAATATGACAAGTTCCTTTTTAATAATTCCCTAAATTGAAGCTACTTGGTAGAGTGGCAGCCCTAAAACATTCCCATTACGAGATGTTTTGGGCTGTGTGTTTTTGAAGTTTGACAAGCTGCACATGTGTTGTGAAGTTGGTGAAGATGTTCCTTCCTTTGCATGGGTTTTGGCACCTTTGTGTTTTTGTATTTGCATCGTTTTTTAAGCTGCAGCGCGTTTCTCCTTATGTAAGTGTTGTTGTTGCTGTTGTAGCACGTTTGCATCTGTCGGCCACTGTAGCTTGGACCAGAAAACAACAAACCATATTGCTCTCCCTCCAGGTTTATGTGAGTATTGTGCTTTTTCTTATTCTTCTAAACATAACATTGCACCCTTGAAAATTGGAAGATTTTCCTGATTTGTTCAATCAATCAATGTTTATTTATATAGCCCAATATCACAAATGTTACATTTGTCTCAGTGGACTTCACAGTGTGTACAGAATATCAGTATGACAATACGACACCCTCTGTCCTTAGACCCTCACATCGTACAAGGAAAAACTTCCGGAGAAAACCCACAGTTTAAAGGGAACATGGGAGAAACCTCAGGAAGAGCAACAGAGGAGGGATCCCTCTCCCAGGATGGACAGACGTGCAATAGATGCCGTGTGTAAATTGAAAAGATAATACATTTACAACATAGGTAGTCCAAATGTTTGGAAATGCATGTGTCTGTATAAGAAGATGAATCCACGAGGATGTCCATAATCTGGTGGGAGCCGTCAGGGAAGTAGTATGATGAGAGTCAGGCAGGACCACAGCAACAGGATCAGCCACGACTCAGGATCCCGGCGTAGATAGACACCAAAAAGAAATGTGGGGGAATCTGGGTTATCTGGAACATGAGAGTACACAGGTACAGACAGACAGAAGGTGTTCCCAGCATTGTGTTCCAATAGCCTTATAAAACCTGTCCTTGCCATCATTTTCAATTGTATATTTTTTGAGGGCTTTCTGTCCTTTAACACCAATCTTCATAGTTTTTCCTCCTTTTTTAATTATAGTTGTTTTGGGACCATTGAATGCATGCATAAGCAAGTGCATAACACACTGAAGGTTCGTTATTATTTTCAGTTCTTTGGCATTTCAGATATATATTTGGCGCCTGATGCCCTGGAATCTGTGGAGAGAGGCAAGTTTCACCTCACTGGGTCTCTGCTGTGAAGAGCAATCTCCTTTCAAAACCAAGCGTTGGTGAAGATTTAACAGATTCAGGGACACCGCTATGACCATATCTGAATGTCAACACTGATTAGATGACCTGACTCCAATTACCCCCTTTAACAAAAGCCATTTTAAAGACCTTCATGCTCCTTCTTCAGTCCGAGACACAGAGAGAGAAGGAAGGACAAACTGTTCTTACGTAATAGTAAACACTGAAACTAGAAACACATATACTGCAGGGCTCCAATGCCTTCATAATGATCACTTACTGGTGGTCTGTTAACCTCTGGGGTGTTATTAGACCCCCTTTTCTGTGGAGTGTGCCTCAGTAATACTTTGCTATGCCTCAATAAAATCATCATGGGAAATAAATGTGTTATTGCAGTGTACAATAATGCGTAGGCAGTGAGAGTGGCCAATTTAGTGGAAATAAGTTATCAAGCAGTGAGCGTGGGCCATGTGCTGCTGACCACAGTCTGACTGTCGGACATGGAAGCTTTGATCTGAGCCCACGGGTTTGACAGCTTTATGTTTGGGAAGTTGTTTATGACTGCAAGGCAGGGTAATGAGGAGAGAAACAAAGGCAAATGATCAGTCAGGGTCGCCTCTAAACACTGCTACCAGAGGTGGAAACCAAGTCATTGTTTCTAGAGTCACAAATAAGACTCAAGGCTTTGCTCTCAAGTCCCAAGTCAAGACTGACAAATTCCAAGTAAACACTGACAAGCCCTAACTCAAGTCTCAAGTCAAGACTGACAAGTCCCAACTAAAGTCCCAATTCAACACCTACAAGTTCCAAGCATAGTCCCAATTAAATTCTTAGACAAGCCCTTAGTTGGGGCTGACAAGTCTCAAGTCCAAATAGGGAGGTCCCCGGTCAAGTGTCAAGACAGTCTATACTGAAGGCAGAAAATTCAAGTCCCAAGTCACACCTGACACGTGCAAGGTCAAGATACTCAAGTCTCGAGTCTCAACAGTGCTTTTTGTTGGCCTCCATATCATTTCCTTAACCGGACTAAATGATCACTGCGAAAGGAAATAAATACTTTTAAAATTCCATACTGTTTACATTTTGGGCTTGGGTGACTATCTATTCATTTCAAGTCAAAAGGCTCAAGTGAAGTCACGAGTCATTGGTGTTTTATTCCAAGCAGAGTTACAAGTCCTTTTTTTTCATGTGATTTGAGTCCAAGTCATGTGACTCAGATCCTCACATTAAGTCAAAGGCTCAAATACTACTGGTGGAGTTTAGATCATACACCATCTTTCCCTCTTCTGTTGTTATAATTAGTTTGTGATACTGAATAATAGGCTACATTTTTGTGATCTTTCTGCACTGTTGGGCCTTTTTATGGTATCAATTTGATATGGGGCTGTAATGTTGCTACAGGGACTTATATCCAATAATGCAGTGTAGAGGGTTTCAAGTTTATGACCCTATTATTCCCATAAAAGTACATTTTGTATTCCAAGTTGCATATATTGATTAAGGAGTCTCTATTTTGTACACAGCCACACTGTGATATTTATTTATTTATTTACACAGCCAACTTATTAATTGTTCTGTTTTTTAAGGATTGATGTCCTGGGGCCTCATTTATAAACGGTGCGTACGCTCAAAAGATGACGTACGCCAGTTTCTACGCAATGTTTGCGATTTAAAAAAAAA